TCTACGTACTTATACTGGGGAAGAACTACCAGTGTTGGGTCAGATTGATGTTACAGTGACGTATGAGTCTCAGGTTATTAGCCTACCGTTAATCATTATACAAGGAAGTGGAGTCACGTTATTTGGTCGAAACTGGCTGGAGCATATCCAGTTGGATTGGTCCAAGATTCACTCTCTCAGAGAAGATCCTAGTGGTTTGCAGCTACTCCTGGATCAACACCAACTCCTTTTTCGAGAAGAGCTGGGTACCTTAAAAGGTATGGAAGCAACTATCCATGTTCCTCCTAATGTGCAACCACGTTTCTATAAAGCCAGACCTCTTCCTTATGCAATGAAAGAGAAGGTTGAGCAAGAGCTAGATAGATTGCAGAAAGCTGGTGTTTTAACTCCTGTTGAATTCTCAGATTGGGCAGCACCAATTGTCCCTGTGGTGAAATCTGATGGATCTCTTCGTATATGCGGTGATTACAGTGTTACTGTCAATGCTGTATCTAAGCTGGATAATTACCCCCTGCCTCGAGTGGAAGATCTATTCACTGCCATGTCTGGTGGTACTCTATTTACTAAGCTGGACTTAACACACGCATACCAGCAGCTTCGTTTGTCTCCTGAATCAAAGAAGTATACAACTATTAATACTAGTAAAGGATTATTTCACTATGAGCGATTGCCATTTGGTATCTCATCAGCTCCAGGGATCTTCCAACGTACCATTGAGACACTACTTAAAGATTTACCAGGAGTAGTAGCCTATATTGATGATCTTCTAGTCACTGGTTCAAACAAAGAGCAGCATCTCCAGAATCTTGATCGAGTGATGACACGCCTAGAATCTGCAGGAGTCACACTCAAGAGGAGTAAATGTGTCTTTCTCACCCCTTCGGTGGAATACCTGGGTCACGTGATTGACAAAGAGGGACTACACCCTTCTCAAGAGAAAGTCCGTGCTATCCAGGAGGCTCCAGAACCTACAAATGTATCCGAACTAAAATCATTTTTAGGACTAATAAACTATTATTCTAAATTTATGTCTAATCTTGCATGTATTCTCTCCCCTCTCTATAGGTTACTTCATAAAGACTCAAAATGGTCGTGGACAAAGGATCATACTACTGCCTTCAATACTGCGAAACAACAGTTACAGTCCTCATCCGTTCTCATCCATTTCGATCCGTCCAAGGAGCTTACGTTATCATGCGACGCCTCTTCCTATGGTTTGGGAGCTGTCCTCGCTCACAAGTTGGAGGATGGTTCTGAACGCCCGATCGCATTTGCATCTCGTACTCTCTCCCCTGCCGAAAAGAAGTATTCGCAGGTCGAAAAGGAGGGGCTTGCAATAATTTTTGCCGTCAAAAAGTTCCACCAGTACCTCTATGGTCACCACTTCATTATCTATTCAGATCATCAGCCCCTGAAGTATTTATTTTCTGAATCCAGACCAGTACCTGCTATGGCTTCATCGAGAATCCAGAGATGGGCTCTCACTCTCAGTGCTTATGAATATTCTATTCATTATCGACCAGGATCACGTCTTGGTAATGCTGATGCGTTAAGTCGATTACCACTGACAGATCAACCTCAAGATAAAGACATTCCCCCTTTGGGAGATGTCAATCTCTTAGTACAGCAGTTGTCACACTGCATAGTATCAGCAACTCAGATAGCTCAGTGGACAGATAAGGATTCTACTCTTTCTCGTGTTCACCATTTTATACTACATGGATGGCCTGATACCTGTCCAGATCCAGCATTCCTACCATATTTTCGTCGTAAAGAGGAACTCAGTACTGTGGATGGATGTGTACTATGGGGTTCTAGAGTGGTGATTCCCACTACTGCTCGCTCTCTTGTGGTACAGCAGCTACACGATTGTCATCCAGGCATAAGCAAGATGAAGAGCTTAGCTCGCTCCTATGTATGGTGGCCAGGCCTGGATGAGGATATTACACGAGCTGTACAAACATGTGAAATATGTCAGAATAGCAGGCCCAGTCCTCCTTCAGCACCACTCCACCCTTGGGAATGGCCATCAAGACCGTGGTCACGAATACATATCGACCATGCGGGACCGTTCCAAGGTAAATTGTTTTTACTTGTTGTAGATGCCTATTCTAAGT